GCACAGCACAACGGCCAACACACACATCACACGGCCCATCATCATGAGAGAGAGACAAGGGTTTGTTTCACGTAAAAACACTGATCTAGAAAGAAAGACAATCAAAAAACAAAACAAGATAACAAATGAAGTATCAAACATGTTAGGACACAGAAATCGATTACCACTATGGAAACTCACATCGTAAAAATAAAACCTACCAGTTAAAGAATGCAATACACCGCAATAACCTCATTAAGAGTAGAAACCAAAAAAAGCCCACACTTACAAATATCTCAAAAAAGGCACAATGCCCAAGCAAACCACAAGCAAACAAAACAGATATTAAACATTAGCCCAACTTACAAAGTAAACACAGAAATATACACCAACTATGGATGTAAGTCTATATATGTGTGTGTATACGCAATTATAAATATAAATTCATCTGTTATTATTATTTCATTTTTTTACTCTCACTACAAAAAGCAGTTCATCATTATCATCACAGTGCAAGCCCAGGTGCACACAGAAGAAAGAGACTCCAAGAACACATACACACACAATGGAGTAGCAATAATAATAATTATAGGATAAACACAGAGAGAGCGAAAACACACAAAACACATTAACATTAAGAAACAAAAAAAAGAATATCCCAACATGTGGAAGATTAGTTAGACTGTAAGAATTCAACGAAAAGAAAACAAAGGATGACCTGAGTCACACCACACCACCATCACACAATCAGCACACAAGAATACAGGCCAGTGTAACCACAATCAGTAGTGGTACACGCACCCACACAGAACTGCTGATACTGCTGCTGCTGTCTGCATCACTCTTCTTGTTGTTTGTGAGTTCAAGAGGAAGTGTTGTTGTTGTTGTTGTTGTTGAGGTGGTGTTTGATTCTGTATCTCCTGCTCCTTCTTCATTTTGGTTACTTGCTGCTTCATCACCTGCAGGGGCAACGTTATTTACATTGTTTGCAGCATCTGAACCCACTGGATTATCCACAGTTGAACTGCCAGAAGGTGTATTACCTGTATTATGGGGTGTGGGAGCTGAAGGTTCTTCTGATTGCGAAACGTCACTTGGTTTCCCTGTAGATTGTGTAGTAACCCTTGCATCAGTTTGGGAATCAGTATTCTCAGCGTCTCTTTTGTCGCCAACGGAAGGGCTCCCTACTCCTTCACCAGCTTCATTTAATTGTTTACTATGTTCAGCACTGCCTGTTCGTGCTTTATTGTTCTGCTTTGGTTCGGCGAGATTATCGTCAGTACCGTTGCCAGCCCTGTTCTCATCTGTATGGCCAACCAATGTATCTTCTCCCTGCTGCCCTGCACTCTGACCTCCACTACCACCAACACTACTACTACCATGACCATCACCAGAACGGACAGCAGCAGTAGTAATAGTACGAGAATCACAGGTACGGCCATCAACCTCAGTAGATTCACTATCAGTAGCTGAAGGACAAGTAGAAGAAGCAGAATCTGTCAAAGATCCACCAGTACTCCCTCTATCACCTGAAGGTCCAGTAGGACCAGGGGGACCTTGAGGGCCTGCTTCACCATTTTTCCCCAAAGGTTGTGGAGTTCCTACCCCAGCAACAGGAGTCTCTCCAATCACCACCCCCACACATGCAATACTTAGCAGCAAAGCCATGGAAAACAAAGTTCGACACAACATCATTACTGCAGAGAAAAGAAATAGTTTTAATTGATTTGGACGTACCACCTTCAAAAAGAAAAACAAAGAAGAACAAAAAAAAAAAAAAACGCAGTCTAAAGTAAGAATAGAGAAAAACAAAACCAGCAGTAAAAATTCAGTACAAACAATAAACAAGAAGAATCAATAACACCACATACAACCAAATAAAATATAAAACAAACAGAACTTAATGGCACACAACACAAAAGCAAAGCGAAATGTGAGTATGTTTGAGTTAATATGCAATTAGTACTATTCTTTCTCTCGTACTGTCTTATTTTTCCAAGAGCCCACCAACATCATTGCCCCAGGAGAAAAAGCACACTCAACATCCCAGCAAAATCATCAAGCAACCAAAGAAAAAGATATTAATCATTAGCCCAATTTACCCAGTAAACACAAGAAATACACCAACTATGGGTGTAAGTCTATATATGTGTATATATACGCAATTATAAATATAAATTCATCTGTTATTATTATTTCTTTCCTTTTCACTGCAAAAAACATTTCATTATCATCATCATCACAGTGCAAGTCCAGGTGCACACACAAAGAGAGAGCCAAACACATACACAATACTCCATGGCTCTAGTTTATGTATTAAATTACTGCACACATACGCATGTGCACTGAAGATAAAAGTATGCCGTCAGCGATCAGAACAGCCCAGTTTTCTGCACGCACACAACGGGAAAAGCAAGTAATGGAATTATTAAAAAAAAGAGCACACACACAGATAAAAGTAAAAGAAAAGAAATTCGAATTAAAAGAGAAAGCTGGTAAACAGATTATTAATTTATTCACCCATGGGGAATATACGCAATTATGATTATGTTAGTTTAACCATTATTATTATGTGTCCTCAAGTGAGTCCCACGGTTCAGCACACAGTAGCGGAGAACAACACAGCCACAATCAGTAGTGGCACACGTACCCACACAGAACTGATACTGCTGCTGTCTTCCTTACGCTTCTTGTTTGGTTTGGTCTCGCTCTTTGCAGGCGTAGGAGGTTGCAGTATTGTTGGCATTGCGGGTGGCGTCACCTTAGTGGGTGTATTGCGAGTGCTCGCTGCTGATTCACTCTGTGCTGGTGCTACAGTATTCCTTTCCTGATTATCATTCTCTTCAGGTTGCGTATTCGTAGGAGCTGAGACTTCTTCACGACTCTCGGAATCTTCAACAGAAGCACGATCTGAGTCAGAAACATCTGCACGAGGAGGACGAGCAGGACCCCTATTGCGAGCATAAGATGGAGTTCCAACAGTAACATTAACGTGTGGAGGCACAGCAGGAAAATGATTAACAGCAGTATCGGTGTGAGTAACATTTGGATGAACACCGGGAAATCCAGGAACACCATTATGAGCTTTGCCAGAAACAGACGACGTAGAAGGTGGAGGAGGTACTGTGCCAGGAATACCAGCAGCACAAGGAACACCGCCATTAACTGGACCAACCCCGATACCAGG